GACATTTGCAAGTCCTCCATTTTTTGATAAATATAATACCCTCATCAAGAAAATATAATCTAAGAATAAAGCAGATTTTGGCATTATCCCAAAGCAAGCTATCAAGAGTGTTTCTCTTCTAACTTAGAAAGGCATTTGTCTTTTTCTTTGCTGTAAAGTCTTGTTTCAAACCATGATGAAAATGAAGTCATGGGAGCTTAGTTGGTGATTCTGGTTACAGATCATTAATATGAACTCACAGAATTATCCTGAATTTTCCACCTTAACAAATGAACTAGGCTTTTTCTGTGATGCAAAACATCTGAATGGGCCATGAACACTTCAGTTACTAAGCCTTTACTAACACTGTGGCTCTCTGGACAACTGATCAAATTTTTTCTTTTTTCTTTTTTCCAGAGACAGGATCTCACTAAGTTGAGACTGAATTCTCAATTCTTCTGCCTCAATCACCCAAGGAGCTAAGATTGCAGGTGTGTGGCACAATGCCCAGGAAAGTGAGAAGAAGAAAGAGGAAATTACAGAATTGTGGAACGAGGTTTTGTGCTAGATTTGTGATTTCCATAAAGGTATCTCAGGAGCCAGCCTTGGGGAAAGCTCAGGCCCGGGAGAGTTCGTATGTTCCCTGCAGCTGTGTGTACTCTTTTCCATCTCACGTGTGGATAGCACATCTATTATTTCACACAGAAACAGAGGTGTCCTCAGTGAAAAAATTTTGAAAATTGTCCTCCAAGTATCATTTTAGGACCAAAAGCACAGCACCACTTGGGAATTTATTTAGAAAACAATATTTTTCTTGGCGGTACTGGGGATTGAACCAAGAGCTTCCTCACTAAGCTACACCACCAGTTTTTTGGTTGTTTTTTACTTGAGATGGGGGTCTCACTAAGCCAGTTGCCCAGGTAAGACTCGAACTCACAGTTATTCTTCCCCAGCCTCCCAGAGTGCTGTGATTACAGGTATGTGCCACTGCACCCAACTTCAGCTACAATGACTGAGGATCAAAGAACCTGGTGGTCACTGTAGGTCATTTCTCATAATTACCTGACTTCCAGGACTCATGTGAACATAGACAATGCTTTGGGCCTGAGGTTCTTCCTTTTTAAAAACTGAATATGTGAAGGAAATTTCTTCCATATTTTTCATACTATTTTCACCCTATCTCATGGTAAAACAATAATTTCCCCTCTTGCCTCAAAATCTACACATATAGGCAATGCATACTTGTCTTCCGAGGCTCTCCATTCTTGCATCGTGATATCCCCAAGGTACTTTTTACTCTACGTTGTTACATTTCATTCAGATTAAAGTGTTTGAGATATGCTAAATAAATTTTATGACCCATCATTTACTTGCAAAGTATACTTTAAAAGGTACTATACTTATATCAGATAATTTTAATGGGATTAAGTGGAGCTTGTTTTTATGTTTATTTTAACTAAATGAATAATTTTTCAAATTAACTCTTCTGGAACCTAATTGTTCCTTCACATTTCAAAAACAGAGAGTACTAACATAATCCTCAACCAACAACAATTCTGTAGCTGGAAATCTCAGTTCTATAGCTTACTTATGTGACTTTGGACAAGTTCCCTTTCTAGGCTGAGTATTGCTTTCTTTAACTATAAAACAGAGTCCTAATCTATCTCTTCTGTGATTGGAATGAAGACTGGAGAAAACAGGCACAAACATCTGGCCATAGATGCACAACCAATGATAACTTTATCATCCTTGATGGTGAGAATATCATGCATTAGTATTTATAAGCTATCCTCAGATGTTCATGTAAAAAAGACATAAACATTTTGTGCTATGGATTAAACTGTATGAACACAAAAATTCCTCCTAAAGCCTGATTACAGCCCTTAAAATCAATTCTACCCTAAAGCAAGTCGCACTTGTTTGAATAAGCCAGATTCTCTTTAGTGAGACTGGAATTTGGGCCTCTTTGGTCTTCCCAACTATCACCTTGTACTATCAATAAATGGACCGTTCCCTTCCTCCTTAGAGATTATTTGGATTTTGAAAACCCATATGCTGCCTAATCATTTGCATCAACTACTGGTGCAAATTCCATATCCTTGTTGGACTGATTAAACCTGGTGCCTGAAGATTACTGTTATACTTTATCTATGGAACGATAGCTCTGGAAAAAAATTAATAAAAATTTTGAGATTATATCTGCCTGTGTGATCCTGAGATATTGTATATTTAATAACTGAGCAGAATTTAAAATGCCTCCTGTTAAAGCAGAAGAAAATAAACAGGAAAGAAACTGCAGTACAGGCAGACCCTCTGTTTAAAAACTCAGAATTTATGATATCACTTTAGACACCCACCATCACCCCAGGAAGATGCTAAATTCTCCATCCCCTCCCTAGGCTCCTTGTGTCTTTGGAGACACTTTAATAATACTGAAATAGTAAAAATTATGTGACCAAAAATTTGGAGGAATAGAAAAAGCTAAAAGTAAGAATCATGTAGTGCAATCTACTGCTGGCACTTCCGCCTTAGGCAAAAATATACTCACTAACCCAGGAAACACATCACCCAAAGACACTTCCCTCTGCTCCCAGTCAGATCCATCTTCCTTTCTTATTCCTCTTCGAATTTCACCACGAGGAGTTTTATTAGCTTAATGAACAACATTTACAGAGAGGTAGAAGGTTGTTGACCTAGCTGATAAACACACACTAGGGTGAATAAATTAAAGTTATTTCACTTGTCGCATCTGCCTAACATAGAAATACAAATGTAGGAAATGATGAGGTACGATGTTCACAAGGGGTTTCTAGCATTAAAATTCCCACAACACTGAGGCCCTATAAGTAACCCTGTCTTTCCTATGTTCTCAAAGCTGGGTTTGATGTATGGTGATGGCGTCTTAACAGGTAGAACAAATTGACTCGCTAGAGCTAGGGTAAGGAGGGAAAGGGTTATTTGGTTCAGGAAACCCCAAAACTCTCCATACAAAACCAACACTAAATTGAGCCTGAGTATGCAAAAATTTTTAGAGACTTTCTAATTCTCTGCCCATAGTCTTTCTCAATTTTCTACTGATATTAAAATCAACAGAAACAATAGCCAGCTTTTTACTGAACATATTAGGTGCAATACTTACCTGTACTACGAAAATGACAAACTTCATTTACCATCATAAATTAAATATACTGAGACAACTGGTCTGTACAAAGTGAGTTTGTAGTGTCAGAGTAGAAAATGAAGTCCACACAGACAAAAGGAAGAAGTTAGGAGAATATTTACTGGAAATCAGGAGAAGGGAAAATGTTGTGCTCCTGTCACCAAGAAATGATTCCAAACAGAAGTCCAAATGATCTTCTTTGTCTTACCTTTCTGCGACTGCAGGAAAATCATTTTGTTACTCCTGATCAATTCAAAGAAAGTGAATTCAAAGCACAGGATTGCTAATACTCCTTGAAGTCCAGTCTGGAAGTAGGGAGTAATTGTCAACTAATTTGACATATTCCAGAGCCAGGTACGGTGGCGCAGGCCTTTCATCCCAGCACTCAGGAGGCAGAGCCAGGAGGATCCTTGAAAATTCAAGACCAGCCTGGTCTACCAAGGCCCTCAAGGACAGCCTAAACTGCATAGTAAGACAGTGATCTCAGAAAGAAAAAAAATACTCTATATTTCTGTAAGAAACCTCTTCCTGAGAGGAAAGCTTCTTATCTCTCCCTTCCTAACATTTTATCTTTCTTCCTGTGTTTTCTTTTATGTTTAAGCTTAACTAGCTGTGTGGCTTGAATTAGTTCTTAATTCTACCTTAGGCCCATCCCTATTACAATGTAAATCAAAATGCATTTAGTAAACCTCACCTTCCAAGCATCATAACTCAAATGGTTACACACTATAGAATATGGTTGTTTCCCCTTCATGATTGTGTGCCCAACTGGGTATTGTGACTGCCCAACACAGCAAGAGAGTATCATACTACGTAACCCTAGTCTGGAAATAAAATCAAACTCCAAAACATGATTCTACTAAATGCATACTGCAAACCATCCTAAGTACCATCCTAAGGGATTGAGTACAAACTTATCTATGCTCCAAAAATGGTAAACATTTGCTGCCCTTCTCCACAGTCCTCACATTAACATTTTCAAGTGTCACTGTGATCCATTCTGGATAAGGAAATAAGTCTATGAGGTCAGCCAACCAAGATTTGTGCTGTCCTTTGTCTAAGCTTTGAAACTGGCTTTTATATCCACAACCCAAAAGGAATCAGCCTTGTGTTTAGCTATCTAAGATAAATCTTCCCTTCTCTGTGACAAATTTTTACTCATTTCCACTCAAAGAAAGCTCAAATTTCTTTTCTACAACACTTAAAAAAGAATAACTCTTCCATCCCCGTGCATATTTTCTTAATGATTTAACTCTCTAACTGGATGCAAAAACTGTCCCTTTATTAGTTAATAGACATCTCTTGGAGGGGCTTCTGCACATCTGGAACTACATTAGACTCTGAAAACATAGGTTTTAAAATGTCAGTTTGCCTCACACAGAGTTGAGACAAAGCAAGAAACAGTCTTTTATTACTTCTTTAGGTTGCCAACCACTATGCCTTGCACAGAGAAATAGAATAATGTTTTTGTGTTCATTGATTGACTTCTTGAACCAAACAAGTAATAAGAGGTCTTATATTTACCTTATGGTTTGGCTGAAACTTCAGGGATTGCACGTCATCTAGCCTAAACCTCTGGTTTTATGGATAGAGTGAAACACAAATGAAGTTATATAGCAAATTGTATCACTAAGGATAAATTAAGTTTATATCCTGTCTTGTGCATCCTAATCTGCTGTGTCTTCTAAGTGGACCCAGAATTGACAGTTAAACTAAATGCAAGGGACAGCTTAACTTGGCTAGTGTGAACTTGCTAAAAATGCCCAGGTCTGCTAATCTGGGCACATTTCTATTCCCAAGATGCATTTCTCATTCTCTCTCTATGGTACAATATTGCACCTGTTAACAATGAACGTCAGGGTCACTGGGAAGCAATTTATTTCATTTTTTTCAAAAATAAAAGAAGTGTTAATATCACAAGATATATATCTAAAATGCCCCAGGTCAAGGTCTATCTCTAGCATCATTCTTCTCATTTTCGGTCCCCCACCTTTTTCCCTTTCCCCATGTCAAGTTGTCAGGATGACTTTCGTCTCAGAGACACGTTGCTTCTCCTTGTCTGCCTCCCACCTGCCACGGGGAGACCATTCCACCAAAACCCATCAATCCTTCCAAGTCCAAGATCAGTTCTTGTGCTCTGCCCACCCAGGCACAGAAGGTCCCCAGTACAGAAGTGAGACGTAACTCGAAAGGAAACCGTAAATGTGTCTGCAAATCGCTGGGCCTGTAAAAAGATAAAGCAGTTTTTCCTTATTGAATGTGGAGATCACACTTTCCCAGACTTTCTATACCAAGGGAACCTCTGGGAATCAACTTTTATATCACATTGAAAGCAGATAGTAAGAAGCACTGTGTGATATTCAGAACAGTGCTGCTCATTTGAACTGTAGGCCAATTATTTCCAGTTGATAAGAATTGCATTTCAAACAGAGAGAAGATGCTTCCTTCGGCATGAGGAGTCACTTTGGTTACAGCAAAATAGCACAACTTGCAGAGAAATTGTTATCTTTCTGTCTCCCATTTTTATAAGCATTTTAGTTAAGTCTGGGTAATAGAAATACAAAATTTAATCAATGACAAACATTTGGCAGGAAACTGGAAACGGTTTATTGATGAGAAATAAACAAAAGGACATTGATTCTGTTTAGCAAACTGGTACCAGTTTTTCCCTGCACCTTAGTTTTTACTTTTTCCCCCACCCAATAATTCTGTTGCAGAGGACAGGTGAGCACAAAAGAAATAAGAGAGATACAAATTTAGAAAGAGAACTAAAGAAATGGATGATTGTCTTATGAATAACAAATTTCTATTTGTAAATTACCTACCTTTTGAGAAAATTCCATTTGTTTAAAATGTTGAATAGACGTGAAGTGCTCTGAGTTCTATAGCATAAAAGCAACCAAGTCAAAGCTTCTTTGAAAACGAACAAGAGATAGGAAACATCTATCACGTCCTCACCCTTTCTGTCTTCCAAGAAGTAGCAATCTTAGGCCCTGGGAGGGGAACCATAATTTTTATTTGAAAACCTCTCAGGGCGTTCCTTTTGTATTTCCCTTTCTTTCTTCAAAGATCACAGTAGCAATTTTCTTTTATCATGGCCTATTTATAGTTTTCTTTTCTCAAATCCCAGGCCAGAAAGAAACGGCAAAAAGCATTTCAACAGCCACATTATTTTGTAGCATTCTTCAAAACTATTAAACACAATCAAAAGAGGCAAAAAAAAATCTCCCAAACTTGTTCAACTCATTATTTTCTCCACTTGATCTGTTCTTAAAGCAACGAAAGCCAAACAAATATTCTTCTCCTACTTCCAGCATGGTTGGAGATATGAGGAAGAAGAGCTACTCAAATGCACTCATTTTTATTCAGAAATGAACACAAACCCAAAGGAAGACGCTTGGTATAATGGAGTTGGTACAGACCTTACTCTTGTCTCCCATATTATAGGTATTTTTACAGAAGTGTCAACATATTCTCCAGAGGTTAGGTATACACAGTCAAGATTTAGAGACCTATCAGTCACCAGCAGCCTCCTGGCAATTAGTGATTTCCCCACCTATACAGTGGTTTACACATGATTTGTAGGCAGAGGTACTTGAATCCAAATTCTGTCTCTAGAACTTTTTAATCCTTTGACCTTGGGGGGGAAAAGTGCCATGATTTCTCTAAGCCTCTTTTCCATTTTTTAAATAAGGGTGATGCAGCAGTTAGCAGATAGATTGGGTTTAACATGAGGTGACTATACCAAGTTAAAAATAAACCGTAGTCTGCCACTATATAGTCTTGTCTAGCCACATAAGAAGATAACACTTTGCAGGCTACTGTGAACTGGACCCTTGTGACTGAGTTTTGGATAAGGTGACATGCATTGAGGTCATGTCAGTCACTTCCATACTTAACTATAAAAAACCTAATCTTTTTTTGTCATTTCATAGGAAACCTTAGAGTGAGCTGTAGGCCTAGGCACCTGCAGCGTGGGACGTGTGATAAACATAGCATGAATCAGAGGTTTCTGTTTCACTAGAAAGTGACTCTCCTGGGGTCTCTTCAATGACTGACTCCCCCTTCTGCATCAGTACTGGTTGGCAGGTGTTAAGATCTTAATAAATGCCAGTGGATGCAGGGAGTGAAGGAAGGAAATCACTGGAGGAGCAGAGCTAACTCCTAGGAGGATGCTGTTAAGAGAAACTAATCCTGAGCACAGTGGGCTACTTCAGCCAGCTAAAGCAACTCACTTCTCAAGTCATCATTTCAGAGCTGGGTCTCAAGAAGAAATTGTGTGTCTTCCAAAGTATCCCAGAAAAAAAAGTCACTGCAAAATTAATTTCCATCTCCTCATCCTGAGAAGTCCTACACAGCACTGCAAGAGCTTCACATCACCTGCACTGGGATAATGAAGATGGGGTGAACTCAGAGGAATTAGAAAAGGGCAGAAGAAGGCTGAAAAGGTGATGGTGGGGTCCCAGGATAAAACAGCAGAGCACAGATGAGGATTGAAAAAGGCTGCAGGATCCTCCAGTGGTCACTGCTCTGGTCAGAAATGTGGAGAATATTTGAGGGATGCTGATGCCCTAAAAGAACATGGCTTTTGAGGAGAGACCTTAGTCCAAAACTCAAGCCATAAGTAGTTGTGTGACCCTGGACGTTCTATTTAACCACTGTACTAATCAGCGATTTGGTCTGCTTTTTCTATTCCCTGTTCCAAGATGGTCCTAGAAACCTATTCAACACTCACTGTGGCATGGTGAAAAGACTAGAAATTGGAGTCAAGACCTAACATAGCCTGCTACGGTGACTAAGGTTACATAGAATTATTCTTATTGGCTTCTGCATCTGCAAAGTGGGTATACAAATACCTGCTTCATAGAGTTGCTAGAAAAACTGAAATGAAATAGCCTGTGTAAGCTTTTACAATCGTTATCTGGCACAGAGCCTATGTCCAACCTATATGTCCACAACATCTTGTTGTGATTATTATTCATTGAATGAGTGAATCTCTCAGAACTTCAGTTTTCTCACACTTAGATGTGGACTAAATATCTGGGCCATCCATTTGTTCTGAGGATTCAATGAGATAATGTAAGTAAAATGCTTAGTTCAATGCCTGGTACAACACTGCTCTGAAGAAGTGATTATTCCGAGCCTCATTACCTAAGATTTAACTAAAGCATCACCGTAGGTTTAATTCTTGCCCTCAAATTTCTTGATCAAAACCTGAAATACAAAATCAGCAGCAGTGGCAGAAGTACCATGGCCCCAGGAGCAGTGACCCGGAGGGAGCACGGGGTGATGCCAGCTACAGCGACCCAGTGACAGCGTGAGAAAGTACTCTGATAAGCTGGCATCATGCGTGAGTATAAGCTAGTTGTTCTTGGCTCTAGAGGCTTTGGAAAGTCTGCACTGACTGTAGGGTTTGTTCAAGGAATTTTTGTTGAAAAATACAATCCTACCATAGAAATTTCTTGTAGAAAGCAAGTTGAAGTAGATGAACAGCAGTGTAAGCTCAAAATTTTGGATACTGCAGGAACAATTTACAACAATGACAGATTTGTACATAAAGAATGGATAAGGCTTGGCGTTAGTTTATTTCATCACAGCACAGTCCACATTTAATGATTTACAAGATTTGAGAGAACAGGTTCTTCGGGTTAAAGACACGGAGGATGTTCCCATGATCTTGGTTGGTAATAAATGAGACTTGGAAAATGAAAGAGTTGTAGGAAAGGAGCAAGGTCAAAATCTAGCAAGCCAGGGGCACGACTGTGCATTCATAGCATCTTCTGCAAAATCAAAAATAAGCGTTAATGAGATTTTTATGACCTAGTGCAGCAAATTAACAGAAAAACTCCAGTGACTGGGAAGGCCCACAAAAAGTCATCGTGTCAACTGCTTTAATATACTAAATGAATTGTAGCTCTGAGCCAGGTCTGAAGAACTGTTGCCCAATTCAACACTGCAGCATTCCAACTTTGTTAAACTTAAGTGGGCTTTCCTGAAGTGCTACCCCTTAAGAGGTGAGTGTAAGCTACTCTATCAGTTTGCACATTCTAATCACTTTCTAGTATCACAAGAGAGATTTTTACTTATATAGTAATCCTAGAGTGTGCAGCTGTTAAAACCAGAGGCTGTATCCAATATTACTGCTGAGACATTTCTTCATCCACCAATTTAAAAATGGTGTACTGTATAATAATACACTCTGTCCTTTGTATTGGAGAGTACAATAATGTAAATCCTAAAAGCACCTCTATGTTAGCATAATAAAAGAAAGTCCAAAGAGCTCCTTTATAAACTATTCCAGATAACTTTGCTTCTTTCATATTTGTACCTTACTGTAATATTTTTTTAAAAAAATCAAGGTCATTATCATTGTATTGTACAAAATAACCACTTTGATTAACATGACTATATAGTTTTTTTTTAATTTTTCAAAAACCTGTGGACACAGTGATCTTATCTTTAAAATACAATAGTCCTTTCAGTATAATGTCTTAGATTAAAGACGTTGCCTTTAATATCTGTTGGGAAGGAAATGTCCAGACTTTCCAAATTTCCTCATTCTATATTTCCTTTTTTGTTTACATAAGGAACACTGTTTATAGTCATGCATACAGTGGGGGTCTGCAACAAGAAGTATATATTTTCAAACAATTTTTAAACAACTTAATGATTTTTATAGATCATTTTCAGACATCTGCAGCTGTGGATTCTCACTGTGAATCCTTTGCTTGCTCATGCATAAGTACATTTGCAATACCAAATAGACAGGTCTAATATTTTTGTCTGTTAGTGATTGTTTTACATGTGTAACATTTTGGTTGAGATATTAAATGGTGGACAAGTACTCTGGATGTGAATGTGGGAAGTAATTCTAATCATGTATAATTGGCCACAGGGCCTCATGTGCAGGAACTATTACTGTCTTATTAACAATGCCTTGGTTGCTTTGTATGCATTAATGTTTGGGTGTAAAGACTGTGTGTCTACAACACAAGGAGCCACAGTATTTAAACTGACCAACCTAATGTTACAACTACTTTGAGGTGGCCAAATATAAGCTAAAAGCCTTAATTAAAGTGGTGCAGTTTTGTATAACAGCATCAGTAGTTGAATAACTTTTGATTGCCTTTCAGGGAATTGCATTATTTAAAAAAACCTAAAATACCCATCTGGGTCTCTACAGAGCCCGGCAGTTAGAGAAATGTTAAGCTCCAAGCCAAGATGCCCCGAGTTCAGTATAAATCTCACCTCTTCTTTTTGTTTGTTTATTACACAGAGTCCTATCCAGTCATCCACACTTCTTCTCTCCTATAATTCTCATGAAGGAGCTTCTGGCTACTAGCAGTTCATTTTCCTAAAGAAGGGGGGGCGGGTCTCAGCAACTCTGTCTCAGACCCCTCCATTACTCTCTTCAGTTTCCCCCTTTGTAAATTCAGCATGGAGCTTCCTTCTGCACTGCATTCTCCACTGAATCTCTACTTACAGCTGAAATATTTTTTCTGACATCATTTCCAAGAAGAACATTATGCAAGCTAATGTTGCATTCTGCTATATTCTAAATCTCTAACCTCAGGACATTCTCTAGAAATTCAGAAATCCCAAAGTCAATGAAAATCACAGCAATCCAAACTTTCATCATCTGTTTTCCATTGCAGAGGATGCAAACCCTGCCAATACACCGCTTCCATTGTAAATGAGTTTATGGTTAATGTTTCAGTAGCTGCCAGAGAAAGAGAGGAAAGATTAGGTGAGAGCTATGTTGTTCAAATCACTAGCACCCAAGATAGCAAGACATCAAGATTATTACTATTAAAGCGAGAAGCCCTACAATCTCTTTACACGTATCCAACGGCACCACCAGGACACACACCCTGACGGGTACAAAATTATGCCACAGATACAATGGGACTGAATCAGCCACACAAAAGCATCCCCATCTCTGGATCTATGTGTATTAAAGGACACAACGAGAAACACGAGTAAGTGTAAAATACTTTACATTCTGTTACTGATTACTTTTTTTCTCAAATGTATACAAGAGATGATTAGAAAATACAGGGAATGTTTGATTTTTTTAAACATTCATCACAGCAAAAAAACATATTGCCATTAATTCCTCTCAAAATACTTCCCCTCACTTTGACCACACTTACGTCATCATTCTTGCCACTTTCTGAAGCAGTTCAGGAAGTCCTCTTCTAGGAATGTCTTTACAATCTATAACCAACAATACAGTGATATTGCTGCTAAATGCAATTCATCAGACAGGAGCTCTTACGTCTTCAATCTTCTTTACCAGATCTGCGATTACCAGCTCTTTCCTGAAGTCAAAAGTACCATGAAAAGTAAACATTTTAATTGATTCAATCATCAAGGAAGAAACAACAGTGGAAATTAAAACATGAAAATGACTTCTAGAACTACTTCAGAAAGTGACAAGAACAGGTAAGCGCCTGCATCGAGGGCCAAGAGGAGAATCAGAACTCCTGAGATCCGGCCATGGTGGGACTCAGGCAGCTCATTCACCTGTCCTCTTGGTAAGCGCCTGCAGCATGGGCCTGGAGGAGAACCATTACCTGTGAGCCTACTGCCATGTGGGCTGAAAATCAAGCACCCTTCCCCTTCCTGCCCCCTTCCCCCATAGCTACTGGAGATAGATGTCTCAGCATCTCTTGGGAGGATGACCATATGTAGTATAGCAAATATGGGGGATTTCCTTCTAACTTCTGTTTGAAGGCAAAGGTTGTTTTCACTGTTTTGTTATGTTGTGTTTCTTTTGCTCTATTCAGTATTCTCAATTGGTTTTATAATGTTCTATTTTTGGTTTGATTTTGCTATACCTAATTGACTGGACAACTATTGTAAAGTTAAAGAGATATACCATAGTACATATTACTACTATCCCAGTAACGTACTGTGAAATCCTGTAACAATTTCACTGCATTGTCTCAGTTGGCTTTGTTCATCTTGTGCTATTGCATTTTTGCTACTTTCAAAATAAAAAATAAATTTAAAAAAAAGAAAGTGACAAGAACAATAGGATGTCCGTGTTTGAAGCAAAGGGAAGCATTTTAAGGCAATTAAAGGCAATGTGTCTTTTACTGTAATAATTTTTTAAATTTAAACACTCATCCTATTTCTTGGTCATACTTTATGTATGAGTGAAGAATTTGGAAAGTACTAAACAGATTTTTGTCTTCTTTAATTTTAATGAGATGAACAATTTTAAAAAAAGATAAAACTGAAAATGACCAGGAAATCAAGATTTGTGAATAGACAGTGCCCATTCTACACATACGGGTTTGGGCACAATGGGTATTGGATAAAACAGTTAGATTACAACTTGATGTCTAAAACTGGAGGAGAAAGATGGACCAAAACCACAGATGAAACCACCCCGCTCTGGCACTTAAAGTGGTGTTTTTTGTTTTAAAAGTAAGACTATAAGATGTGTTTCAAAGAAAAAGCAGTGTGCATAAGCCATCAAATTTCCTTTGTTAAAACTGTTTTGAGTTGAGTTCTTTCCCATTGGCAACTAAAAGTATTGTGCACCATGAATCAGTAACTATTCATCAAAACATAACCAAATGAAATTATATAAGCAAAATGCTTAACGTAAGTATGTCACTATCAAGTAGTTCTCCTCCACCTCCTCCGTCTCCTCCTGCTTCCTCCCAGGCTCAATGATTCAAACTAAAGAAAAAAACACAGAAGCACAGGAGGTAAGCAATAGAAACTTTATAATAATTTATATTTAGTTTTAAAGCTTTTCCCATAGAATTTGACAATTCTTTTCAAAAACAGCAATGATGTCACACTATGAACAACTGTGCTGAGACCCCAATTCTTACTCCCACCTGGGAAAAGATAAGTTTGATGCTTCCAAATTTTAAAAAAAGCCTCTATTTTAGTTTTGATACAAATCATCTTCTGTTCTCTATGTTCTCAGTTATTCTGTGACCCATGTTCCCCTGTTCTAGGAAACTTCAAAGTCATAAACTCTTTTCAGAGAAAATACTTATTGCATGAAATTATTCAAAATCCAGACTTTGTACAGAGTCATTATTTTTACCAAAAAAACAGTAAAAACCTGTGAAAATCTACACAGTTAACACTGTCTCACTAGTGAGAAGCTATGTCTCCTTTACTTCTGTTGCCCAATGAAATGCTCCAATCAATCACCACACATCTGTCTTTGTAGTTTAGCTGTTTCATTCCCATTAGTCTCTGCCATCGCATCTCTAAGTAAACATATTCTTAAGGATCCATTTTTAGCTGTATTACAGTTTGCAGTTCTCTTTTCAAGCTTGTAACAGAGACCTTGAATTTTGCATGAGCTCAAAACAAGGGGGAAAGTTCTTGGTTTGATCCAAGATCTATTTTGCTTCAAAAGCAGTGAGAGGAATGCCAAGTGAAGAATGCCAACAGAACTAAAGAGAACTTTTCCTATTCCCTACACCTTTAAGCCCAGGCACTTGATACCCAAGTGTGGTTCAGGGTTCATCCTGCCCACAGACCTCCCATGCTCACGGTCCTGCTGTTCTCAATGGTTGCTGACTGTGGAATAAATCGGGGAGACCTGTGGTTCCTAACCTTAGGGTGGTCTCCTTGCCCCTTATGTGTGCTGCTTCTTTCCTTCTATTATGCAAAGCCATTCACAAATACAAGCATTGTTCACTCTTGGAACTCCTCCGCCCCTGAAGTTGGCCACCAAATATTATTTCAGGTGGTCTGAGGATCACATAGGAGCTCCTACATGCTGTAAATGAAAGGAAAGGAACAGGCTCTAGAACTACAAATACCCAGTGTTCACTAAACTAGGTGATCTTGTCTCAGAAAGCTCACATATGTTGTTAACATAAGACAACAATTTTATCTCGCTTTTTTTAAGCCTACTAGATCTTTATTTTAACCCTATACATGCATGCCTTCCGCGACACTTTGTCTTTAAGGGGTGAACAGAATTTAAGTGCAGACAAGATGAGATGCTTTGTGAAAAAGGGTTCAGGGAAACAGAATGCTTGAGTTGGATCTCAGGACTTAAATTTCAGGACTGTTTCTAGCAATAACTTGTTAGGGTAACTGGGCAAGTGCCTCTACAACTTTGAGTTTAATTAATCCCATCCTCAGATATAAACATCAAGGTTTCCCTTCACCATCACCCATATATATTGAGAGTCAATAGCAAACAACTGTAAAAATTACATTGTAATACAATCTAGGAGTATGTTACACAGTATCTCCTCCTCCTCCTCCTCCTCCTCCTCATCATCACCATCCTGTACTCCATTTTTTAGTGTTTTTGTGTTGTACTGCTGCCACCTAGTGACAGAAAGAAATTAAAGTTTTCTCAAACACCAATTTTGCATTTGCTAAATTTGTATTCACTTGGACTAAAGTCAGAAAATGTGCAAGCTCAAATTTAAAAAAAAACACCTAAACAGAAATGATCGCACTTGTTATACTTGGCAAGGAGAATTAGGCCCCAACCTTGAATAAATGGGACAAAAATGAGCCCAAGGTCTAGATTAAGAGAAATCCCACCAGGTGGTCTTATCCATTTTTTATTAGTCCAAATGTGTTTTGCATGTAACAAACCATGCTCCTATTAACTTCCAGACATAAAATGGAAACACTTAGGGCAAGCTGTGGACTGATTGTCAGGACTGGAGAGAGGGTGGCGTTTTGAAACTCTTGAGACAAAAACAAACGGGGTCTACTGGTGTAAGAAATTGCTAGCAGCAATTAGTTGTGGGAATTGTACACATGGCCTGGCAGGACATCTTTCTACGGAGTTTCAGACTCTACAGTCACTCCCAATGGGACAAGAATTTTTCCTCATCAACTTTACGAAAAGACAAATGCTCTTGCTTCTCTTTGGTCTCACTCTCAAAACATTCTAGTTAGATGTTCCACAGGGCAATAAAAACTAATAACTATCCATTTGCACTTTTCATTTCCATGGTAACTTTCTACGGAGGTATTCCAAAATTCTTACCAAAACAGGGAATACTGATTGAGCTACGGCCAGGAAATGAGGTGATGGTTTTATTACAGGCCCATATGCAGAAACTTGCCTGCTGCAATGTGTTTGTCTGCAGAAAGTCAGTGTTGCTCCAAGTACAATGATAGTGTGCTGCACAGTGGGCAGAAATCCTTGTTAAGACAGCTGAGGGAGACTGCTTAAGCCAGCTTCCCCACAAAAGTGAGGAAAGCCCAGCCCAGTATGATGACAGATCCCTGTACCATAATATAAGTTGGGACTTTACGCAGAGAGCAAAAGAGTTTGGAGAATGACTGAATTTATTACCCTTTGGAATAAGAATGAGATATATTTTAATGTGCATTAAAGTAAGAATAAATTTTCAATATGACAGAAAGTCTTAGTGAGAAATGAAAACCCATACTTACAGAAAAGTAGGGGACATACATATAAACTGTTAAATTAGAATTTACTTGAAGTCATAATTTTAGACTAGAAATATATTTTCCAGCTCTGTCAATGATCCAAAAGAAGCAGCTTCACTTTCCCCAACACTCACTTTTAATCCTGTACAACCAATCTGTCAGCAAACGAACCATCCATTCTTGGCTGGTCTAGGAGGGCACTGTTTTTCAGTGGAGTCTGGTATGATTATCACAAGTCCAGAATGAAAACAGAGGACTATATATGTTGTGAATTTATTGTAAGCCTAGAAGGACAATGGATAAGAATAGAAGCAAGAATTAAAATAAAAATAGAAATGATTGGGGGAATAAACATGAAGCTAGAATTTTTTTAAAAAATTTTCAATTCACACCATTTGTATTATGGTAATGTTTTATTGTAACTGAAATAACATGTTCATCATTGAGATACTTTTTATGTCTTACATCTGCACGTTACCAAACTCCAAACAATTTTGAAACCTTCTGGAGGCTCTTTTAATAAAATCGTTGGACAAATTTTGGAAAACAATTTAAATTTGAAGCTAAATATTTGAGGAAAATATTAAATTTGTAAGATATATAACATGAACTATTAGTCTGAATATTTCAAAGAATGCTTATCAGTTGTTGTTTTAAAATCATTTATAATTTCATATTACCAATAATTTAGATGTTAAGCAAATATCAAAGTGTTAATAAAAAGACTTTTCTGGCTGGTAATTTAGCTCAATGACATAAGCACGTCCCTGGCAAGCATGAAGTCATGATTTTGACCCCAGTACCAAAAATTTTAAAAAGACTTTTCTACATTAAAAAAAAAAAAGCCTTTCAGGTATAAGGATTTTTTCATAATTAAACAATATCCCTAATGTGCAAAGGGTTTTGTAAATATTTAGTAACCTTTCTCAGTGGGATTAATGGAATCTATTCTTATCCCCTGCACCTGAAAAAGCATTCCCCATTTCTACTAACCATCTGGAGGTGTTTTCTGTATCTAGGACCTTGTTATTTTTGTTATATGTCCATAATTTTCTATCAATGTATCTGGCTGGACCTTTATTCCACCTTCACTTTGTCTGCCCTAATCAAAGTGTCAGTGTTTCCCCCTGCCTTCATGGGAACCCTTGAGCCTACCGATACTTTGGAGTAAATTGGGGCTTATGATAAAGGATCCCTTGATTACACATCAGATGTCTCCACTTAAACTCTCTCAAAACAAACACAAAATGGCTCATGTGCCCTGCACAGGTAAAGGTGGCTGGGATGGCTATGCCAGACGCTTCAGTGCTGGATCACTTGTCTGCCTTTCTCTGAATACTAGTTTGTATTTTCTCTTATTGCAAGCAAATGTCCTTCACACTATGGCAAGCGTAGTTGCCTGGATCAAGGACTCATTTCCTACCAGTTACCTAGCTCAGCAAGTGTTTCTTTCCCAGTTGAGTTTAAAAACTTCCAAGAATGGGCTAGGATGGGCCAAACTATGACAGTGTCCTGCCTCTGGCTAAAGGAAATGGAGGATTATCATTGGCTCATACATGTTAATGGTTGTCATCTGTTGGGATCCGTTTCCAAAAATAATAAGAGAGGCATGGATATAGCCACTGAGGAGACTGTTATGCTATGGAAAATCATCATGAACAACCCAATTTGTATCAAAATAAAAGTATACTGAAACAGGAAACACCTACAGGACAGATGTTGTTAAGATCCCAACACTGACAATATCAGCCAATAGATAGCTGCATCTTAATTCATATGTAGTATTTAACTCTCAGCATAAAAGAACATAAGAATAGTCTGGCGGAAACACTAATAATAATGCAAATATTATACTGGCTTTGAGCTCATTGTAAGACAATATACTCTTGAAAAGTGTGTGGCTCATTTAAAATGATTTGTGTGATGTGCTCACTTCAACAGCATATATACTAAAATGATCTGTGGGGGGATGAACAAATTTCTACTTCTCAGTTACAACTTCTATTTCTATAGCCAAGGTCAGAAGTATTTGAAAGACTAAGAACAAACTCTGTGAGCTTCTAACACTACCAAGGCCTAAGATGAATTTCTTACATTAGACTATATCCTTTAAGTTACATGTGTTTCCTCTGTACCATGATGAAAACCTGAACTTAGACTGAAGTACAATCCCTCAAAGATAAAATTTTTGTGTTGTCTTCAGGCTCCCTTCTGGATGGAAATAAAGGGAGATCATTAAGAGAAAACAAATTTATTGAAAGGGATCAAGAGATGGAGGGAGAGGAGAAAGAGGTGAGCAAAAAGTTTAAGATTAAAATGTGTTACATACATATGCCAACTGCACACAGGGAATGTGATTACTATGTGCTGCAAACACATACTAATGAAAAATAACTGAAAATAAATTCTAAATCAATAATAAAGCCCCCAGAAGTATTAATTGAACTAACTGTAAAGATTCGTAACCACTTGAGGGAAGCTAAATGGATGTCTCACAGATATTTTTACATAGAGAAATGGAAACCCCATTAAAACTAAAACAAAAAGTGTTTCTTCTTCATAGCAAAATGATGTGCTTTGCACCATCAGTAAATGGGAATCTTTAAATGTACTCCCTCTTCTCTGAATTACTTTTCCAATGGAAGGAATAGATTTCCACTGAGCCCATGTGTTTTTTTTTTCCAATCCCTGCTTTTGATTAATAACACACATTTAAAAAGAAATACTGCATAGAATGACTTGATTCCTTGTCACTCTAAAGCCAACTCAGATGCTAAGGGAGAAATCTCAATTGTAAAAGTTAGCATTGGTTTCTAAAATCTGTGCCCAAATTCTAGGAATTTCAAAATCTAAATAGTCTCAAATTCTCAAATGAGTATCTCCATTTTCCTCTAAACATACTCATTCTGCCCCTAGAAAGATAAACAGGTCAATACAAGATAACTCTCCATAAAAACTTAATGTGGCCCAGTGTTTGATGCCTAAACCAGACCTCTACAGATAATTTGCTTTGAGTTCAGGAACAAAGATGCAGTCTTGTGAAAATTACATCCCAGATTATGTTCAAAAAGCATTTAAATTTCATTTTTCAAAGCCAAGTTGATAACTAAAAAATATAATGCTCCCTGTGAACCTGAGGCCTCTTGCTTGAATTCAGGCAGTCCTGATAGCAGCCACATAGGACAGTATGCAGTTGACAGTATCAGTCACCACAGCAAAAATGCAGCCCTGCCACTGCTTAATCCCTTCAGGTTGGTCTCTCCAGTTTGTATCTTCCCCCCACTATCCATTCTCCAAAATATTTATTAAGCACACTCTATCTCAATTGTTACAGTACAGTGGCCCAAAATAGTCCAGGTTCTTGTATACAACATGAATTTCCAAACATATACCTCATAGTAAGTAGTAGATATCTACCTTTATTGAAGATCACAGAACGTTAGCAGGAACAGGCAGAAGGGAGAGGAACCCTCCAAGAGCTCCCACATGACTCAGGCTTCTACTATTTAAGGGTCAGACACCCCAATCTCAGGTGCCTCCCATCGTGAGCAGGCATCCAGGTGCTTCTCATTTTGTCTTTTGGAAGTAATGATCTGGCTCCTCAGGCATCACAATCTCACCACAGCTGAACAAAGGGAAGGGAGTGATCACCTGATTTGCCTGTTTCAGAGCATTCCTGTGGATGCTGTAGTCACTGTGGATATAACAGTGGACAAAAGCACGCATGTTTCCTGCTCTCACACCATTCACATCCTGTGGCTAGAAAATAAATATCTAAACCAGCAAATCAGTTGTTATTTGTAGGGCATTTCTACAATGTAAATAAAACTACATGGCTATTAAAAAAAAGATGGCAAAGAGACAGTGCTACTTTAGATTAGAAGAGGTTAGCAAAACATCCCAAAGGCCAAAGTTTAAGCTGAAATCCAAATGATGAGAAAGAGATAGCAGGAAAGGATTGGAAAGAAGAGCTTCCATGCAGAGGAAATGAGGGGAGTAAACGCAGAGACAGAGAAAAGGTGTTGGTTGAGAGGCTGGAGCATCTCGGCTTAGGGAAGGGGAGAGAATGGAGAAGTGAGAAACAGAGAATGGGCAGAAGCGAGAGCATATAGAGCCTTGAGTTGTGCACCCCATTACCACCTCCATCCTTCCATTATTATCCATATAACACTGTATTATAAAAGTTATTTTACTCTTCTCTCTCTTTGAGTAGACGGTTAGTTCCTTAAGTACACTATATCTTATTCATGATAATAATTATAGCTCCCATTTATTGAGCTATACCAGGCACTAAGCTAGCTACTTTGCATACATTATCTGCAATCTTCACAACAACCCTGCAAGGTAAGTATTATTAGCATAATTTTACAGATTAAAAAAACCAACTAAGTGATTTACCCACGGCCCGAAAGCTAACGTGTGGCAAAGCAGGCAGCGGAAACTGTATCTCATCTGGTTTGGCAATCTGGCTTCTTTTCCCCATGCCACATTTCCTGCTACTTGCTATACTTACTTGTCTTGGTAGTCAGGGCTCCTAGCACGATGCCTGGCACAAGAAACAGACTCACGCTCAGTAACTGTTCCTAGTATTGATATGCAGGGAACTGAGTGTCAGCCCACACAAGAGGAGACTGAACTCACGAGGCCTCAGCTTTGGGGAGACTTTACAGATGCCTATGTGGTGGTGACGGTAGCCTTCTATGTCAGGACAAATTCAAAGCGTGGTGGAAAGTGGCAGGGAGGAGATTGTACTTAATAAAACTAAATGAAAGCTCTGGAGCTTCCTGAGAGCTAGTGTATGACACACTGACACAGCTGCATATCGTGTTCTGAAAAAATTAATGGGATTTTAAAGAGAGAGGCTGCTCAATGTGCTTGCAAAATGGAGACACAGAAGAACGCACCCTGATGATGAGGAGAAAAGAGCAGTGAGAGAGGAGGATGGCACTGTTGTAATTGCCTGTAATTTCCACCCCCCCTCCTGACTTTAATTAGGACACTTGCGAGACACGCACATTTGTAAGAGTGACAGAGCTAATTAAAGAAAACCACATGTCTCATCAACAACCAAATCAGGAATAATAATCAAAGCAGCAGAAGCAAAATTGGAAGCCATGGAGCTGTCAAATGCAGGAGGAACTCAAATACAATGAGGCATGTAATTTAGAAAAAGCGAGAGGACTATGTGGAAGCATTAAAAATGGGACATGAAATAAATCAGTTAACATCTCAAACTGAAACTTGCACTCCCACAATCTGGTCACAATTAAATCTGGTCAAAATTCATCTAATCCTTTCAGCCTGTGTTCTGAGGATGCCCGCATTATTCCATTTCATTGCCTAGAATGTCCCAGTTAAAAGACACCCACTCCCTCCCTGAACTCTTCATTAATTCACAGTGCTCTCCTGTCACCACATTGGTCAATTCTGTCCTCGGTGTAGATGGAAGATGACAGCCTCTCCTCCCTAATTTTTAATATTGCTATCATTCAGAGGTCATTATCAAGTTATTCCTCCACCCTCTCTTTGCAAACCTACAATAAAAGATGAACTAGCAAGTTCAATCTGGGAACAATTCTCCTTGCTATTCCAGATCCTCTACTCCCCAATCTTAGCAGGGTTAAGGTGGCACTGCTGAATGCAGTAGATGACGGTAGAATTTGTTTCAGGGGTGTGCAAGTGACCCAAGCTGACCCGGTCAGAATCTGAACACATTCAGCCGCCTGGTGAGAGGAAGATGCTTGCACGTTCTCATGATATGAGCCTCGGAAATATTTAAACAAGCTTGCCCCATGGAGATTGAGAATAAAGATTTTATAGCTCTAGAAAGAAGAAGAAAGAAACATACTTGTCACATTTTATAAATCCTGAGTCAATCATTCCTCAAGTTTAATCTATCCCTGAACTTTTTGGTTGCACAACCTAACAAGTTTTTCTTAAACCAAGGAAATTTTGATTTTCCATTTTTTACAGATGACTATTATAACAGCAATTTATGAATGCAACAGTAAACAAAATAATGAAAGAGAAGCAATAACAAATGTTAAGTACCCTTTATGTGCTAGACAATGTCCTTTTAATTATTTAACATTAGTATTTATTGTTATTTCCATTTTACCAATACAGAAATTGAGATTAACATTTAAATAATTTTTTCTTGTCAATTAGAGGTTAAATTAGAATCCAAGTTTTTCTCTGGAATCCCACTGGCTCAAAATCCATTGAAATGACAATAAAAGAAGGGAATAAACCATGTTTCATTTCTAAATTTCTTGAATTAATCAATGAATAGAGTAAAATGCATGATTTCTTTCTTCCTTTCTCTCAGGATACCTCTATATGTTCCTGATAAGTTCATCTGGGCTTTCCTCATCATGCTTATTCCCTAATTTGTAGGCATTTTCTGTAAGCACAGGTCTGGAATAGAAACACGTGGCAGAAACTGAAACACTTAACACTATTCAAACTTCCAACCACCCCAATGATTCTGTGCATAGGAAGGTCAGTCCTCACCAAAGAGTCACAGAAATTTATAGGTGCTCAACAGAATTGGAGCACTGTCCATTGCAGTACATAAGAGTTACAAGAAACTCACAGTGGTATTTTCCGGACCAGTGTTAAGCAGCTAGGTCCTAACTGTATTACGGAAGTCAGAGGCCACCAGGTAGCTCCTAAGCTGCCTTCACTGAGCTGTGATAACTGTGTGTAAATCTGTACTTACACCTACTTCAAAATCTACCTCGCTTTTTCCCCACGTCATGCCTCAGAGACAGGTGTGTTGCCAAATTCTGCACCTTTCTAATGCGAGGCACTGTGAAGGTAAAGATGTGAGATGTTACCATGGGCATGAACCATATTTTCTCTTTGTAGTTCTTGCTAATATATTTGAGTTAATGTAGTAGTAACCCTGAATTTACAAAGGAAAATGGAGAAGACTGTCAAGAAATACAGTTTGAGAAAAATTCCACAGATGTTAGAGGATTTTTTGAGAGATACCAAAGACAGCTTGAGCTTCATGAGAAGTCAGTGAGGCCCTATGAAAAATAAAGAAGACCCGAGACCCCACAGTACACCCAAAGTGGAAAGGCAAAAAGGAGGCATGGAAAAGAACAGGAATGCTCTGAGGTGGACTTCATCCAAATTACTGTCAAGAGAAACAGGAAAAGGCACGTTTTAAAAAGTATCATCAGTCTTGCCTGATGAGACATGGATGACACCAAAAGAAAATGGAAACTGAAGTGTTCACTAGTTTCCCTCAGTCACTAAAGATAAATAAAATATAGTGAAGGAAATAAGCAATGCATGTCATAGAACAAACTCAGAAATTCAAGAGTGTAAGAAAGCATAGACATTAACAATATAAACTTTCAAGAGACAGGATATCTGGAGGATATAGCTAAATTTTTGGCAGAAATCCACTGAAATGGCATTAAAGTAAATCGTTTTGCCACAATAAAAATATCCTGCAACTAAAAAAAAGCATGCACTTCAAATTTATATCATGAATGTATTAACCAAAGAAAAAGGTTGCCATTATGGAAAATTAGTGGTGTAGAAAATTAATTGGAAGAAATGTTCACAACCTAGAAATGGAAATAATGAAAAGGATCTTCAAATATTGATAAGAAATGAAGTTTCAGGAAAAGAAAAAGAAATCATTGGAGAACAGATAAAAACAACTGAAGGGGACGTCCTGGTTGGAATACCTGAGTCTGTAAGTGTAAAGAACTGCACACCAGAGTGGTGAGGAGGAGAACGGAGAGAAGGGAGCAGGGCATATTTACAAAAGGAAGAGACAAAATTGTTAGGATGGCATTTTGTTCCTACAAAATTCATACGCTGAAGTCCTAGATATCAATACATTGGAGTATCACTGTATTTGGAGATAGTGCTTTTAGAGAGATAATTAAGTTAAACAGAGTGATTAGGCTGGACCCTGAATCAATATAACTTACTGACAAGAAAGTGGGGCCAAGGAACGCATGGGAGAAAGATCCATAAAGACACAGCGCGAAGACAATATCTACAAGCCAAGGAGAGAGGCCTCACATCAGTGCCAATGACACTCTGATGTCAGGTGACAAGTCTCCAGGGAAAGTCAATCTCTGTCAGGCCTCCAGCCTGCAGTCTTAAAGAAAAAAATACAAAACCAGCAATAAACTTATTGTCTTTAATACTAGACACTACAAACAGAAGAGGAACTTCTATTGGCTAGTGAAAGAATAATAACAAAATAATCTTATACCTAGTAACAAGTATGTTTACAGATACATAAAAGATTCTGAAAATATGTCAGCATAGGAGCCAACTGAGGAATGCTTACAAAAGGAATCTATCAAATAAGTAAACAGAACAGATGGCCTGGTAGGGGACGATGACAAAGACAGAAAACAGCAGTCATCCAAAATAAATAATCATTAGAATGTGTAATATTACGGACACTTGGACTTGATGCATATATAACAAGGTTGAAACTGGCAATGGTGCGGAACTGAATTAAGAAGCTAGCAATGGTTTCAAAGAGAGCAGGAAGTCAGAGCCAAACTTTTTGGGACACATAATACACAGGGTATAGTCACCGCCGTGGTCACTTTATTTAATTAAATCACAGCCAACTTCCTATGAAGCAAGTGAAATTTTTTTCCCCTTTGACTGATGTAGAAACTGAGACCGAGTGAGCAGCTCTTCCTAGATGGCAGGCAGCACATGATTCTGGCATTTGCTTTTTAGTACTGTACTGTACTGTACTGCATGGCAAATGAGAGGGGAAAAAGGCATTGTTATATATGTGGATGTATGTGAAGACCAGGGAATAAAAGTGATCTAAAATGTTTAATTTACATCTAACTGTGCATATGGAATTTAGTGTACAAACTGGGACAGTTTCAGGTTAAAAGTTATGCCAGGAAAACAGAAATGAACTCAATTAGCAAAAGCAAACTTAGACATCTAATCTGTGTCTATAGATTTCAGCTTAGTGCTTGGGAGCAGTAGACAGCCTGTGTTGAGGGATATAGTTAAACAGCTTTATTTCCCATAATAGTAGAGAAATGTATTCAACTAGGCATATTGGGGATACACCGATTGCAAATGGTATAAGAGACAGACACTAAGAAGCTACTAAACATTATGAGTAGAAAAGGACTCGGTCAAACACATAAAAATAAAGGAGGAAAAATAAAAACCACAATAAGATGTAAACACAAGTCTACAAAAGACCTGGATATAAATGTTCACAGCAGCTTTATTTGTAATAGCCTAAAACTGATAATGAACCACATGTCCATCAACAGAAGAACTGACAAACTGTGACACAGTCTAACATGGACTACTAGTTCACAGAGAAAAGCAGTACATTCCTGAGCAAATATCATGGGTGAATTTTCTTCATGAAAGAAGCCATATGCATTTTCACCATAGTGTATAACCGTTAAGGTCTACAGGCAAAACTCATCTATGATTAAAGAAGTGAGAACATTTGTCTCTGAGAGCAGGAGTGGGAATTGATGGGAAAGGGACACAGGTGTCTTTTTGAGATGATGAAAATCTTTCCCAATTTATCAGGGGCATAAATTGTTGTTACACACTTCACAGTGTGCATTTCACTGTGGATAAACAGTACGATTCTATGAAATTATACCTTATAAAATGCAGTCATAAGGAAAAGATTATTAGGTAAATAAAACAAACTAGAAGCAATAATGTTAATAACAGTGCAAAGCTAAATTTAAAAGCATT